CCGGCCTCAAAGAGACACCCCCGCACAGGTGAGGGAGTGGTACATTCCAGAGTGGTACAGTCAGAGTGGTACAGTCAGAGAGTTAAAGTCAGAGTGGTACAGTCCAGAGTGGTACAGTCAGAGTGGTACAGTCAGAGTGGTACAGTCCAGAGTGGTACAGTCAGAGGGGTACAGTCAGAGTGGTACAGTCCAGAGTGGTACAGTCAGAGGGGTACAGTCAGAGTGGTACAGTCCAGAGGGGTACAGTCAGAGGGGTACAGTCAGAGTGGTACAGTCTAGAGTGGTACAGTCAGAGTGGTACAGTCCAGAGGGGTACAGTCAGAGTGGTACAGTCCAGAGGGGTACAGTCAGAGTGGTACAGTCAGAGTGGTACAGTCTAGAGTGGTACAGTCAGAGGGGTACAGTCAGAGTGGTACAGTCCAGAGGGGTACAGTCAGTGGTACAGTCAGAGTGGTACAGTCAGAGGAGTACAGTCAGAGTGGTACAGTCAGAGGAGTACAGTCAGAGGGGTACAGTCAGAGTGGTACAGTCCAGAGGGGTACAGTCAGAGGGGTACAGTCAGAGTGGTACAGTCAGAGGGGTACAGTCCAGAGTGGTACAGTCAGAGTGGTACAGTCAGAGGGGTACAGTCCAGAGTGGTACAGTCAGAGTGGTACAGTCAGAGGGGTACAGTCCAGAGTGGTACAGTCAGAGTGCACGGTTTAACATCTCCGGGAATATTGATATTATCTGTGTTTATTATGGAGCTTAAAAATGGTTACTTACTATACTTAAAAATACGAGTAGAACATTTAAAACAAATATAAGATAACAAATATAATAGAGAGGTAAAAATGTAAAAAAATGTTTAAAATTGTGTTCCGTTTCGTCCGACTCCATTTGAATAAAACCTTGTATTTCCTCCCCTCAGATCCGGATCCTGCCTCTTCACGGTCTGGCCTCAGAGTGGCGCCCCCACCTGGCGGGAGAGGAGGATTACAACGCTATAGATCCAGGATACATCTCCTCCAGAACGGCCCCCCGCTGGCCCTCCTCTCGCCTCTCTGAGATCCAGACCCGGATCAGAGCCCAGCTCCCAGAACCCAACGCCCCCCAGAACCTCTCCTTCCTGGGGGTCGACCCGGCGGACCCCGGCCTGTTTCCTCGCATCATTCGGGGGGAGGAGGAACAATGGAGGGTCTGGGAGGACCAGAGTCACGTGGCCTTCCTCACGCCCTTCCCAAACTCCCCCGGGTTCACGGTTCTGGTGCCGCGCCGACCTCTGACCTCCGATATCTTCAGGTTAGAGAAGCAGGACTACGAGGGGCTGGTTCTGGCAGCACTGAAGGTGGGAGAGCATCAAACCTTCCTGGTTTTCTTTAATAGAAATGTTATTTTTAAAGAAAGATTTTGTAGATATAGGATAGAATATATTACACATTTTAACTGTAAAAGTTATTCCTCTTTCCGGGTTAATCCTGTAGTTTATTTGTACTTAACTACATCCCCCATGAGTCTCAGACATAGATGTGCTCTCAAAGCATCATGGGAGATGTAGTTGTTATTGTTTAAATGTATCCTTGTGAGAATAAAGAATGCTAAATGTGATTGATCATAAAGAAATTCCTGATTTTCTTTAATAAAATGTTATTTTAAAGAAAGACGTCGTAGATATAGAATATATTACACATTTTAACTGTAAAAGTTATTCCTCTTCCAGGTGGCGAGGCTCCTGGAGGCGGGGCTTGGAGCGTCGGGGGTGGGGCTTATTTTTGAGGGTTTTGAAATCGACTACGCTCACGCTAAGTTGATACCGCTGTTAGCTTCGGAGGAGGAAGAGGATGCTAAGCTAACAGCCCCTCCCCAGTTTCACCCCACCTACCCTGGGTACGTTTCCTCAAAAGACGGACCTGAAGCCAGTGAGGAGGATCTGAAGGAACTGCACAGGAAAATCACTCAGAGTTAATATCTGTAGTTTATTTCTACTTAACTACATCTCCCATGAGTCTCAGGCATAGACGTGCTCTCAAAGCATCATGGGAGATGTAGTTGTTATTTCTTAAATGTATCCTTGTGAGAATAAAAAATGCTAAATGTGATTTTTTTTATCTTTTAAAAAAATGTTGAAACTGTTATTTTAAAGAAAGATTTTGTGGAAAATGTTGTAATTATTGTGTTGCATTATTTCCATACTTCTCTTTTTTACTTTCTTTACTTTTTGCTTAAGGACAATAAAAGCCATGATGTCCAAATCTTTCAGAGCGTCTGTTATTCAGTGTTTTTCTCATGTTCAAATTCAGAAACATTTATATGTCGGGCAACAAATAGCGTTACACAAAAGACAATATATTACACATTTTAACTGTAGAAGTTATTCCTCTTTCTTCTGTGTAAACACCTTCAACATGTAAGGGATTTAATTTCCTGCTCCACATCATTTTTAAGACTTTGAATAAGATGTGCTTTGATAAAATCCAAATGTAATAAAATGACTGCATATGTTTCTTTATTGCTTACACTGTGTTACGTATCTTATTTAACCACTTACATAAACTTTGTGCCCTCTCATTAACCGCTCTGTTGCTAATTGGTCCCACGGTGTGTTCCTAATAATAGAGTTTCATTAATGAGCCACTAATTGCTCTCTGAAAAGCAGAATAAAGTCAAGGTGTTAACGAGACGTTGCTACCGCCTGGAGGAACAACTCAACTCTCAAAGTAACAACACAAACTGATTTAATTACTACAGTTTTATATTTGAAGTACCCGCTTTTCTGTAAGTAGCAGCATCATCTGCATCATAGTTCTTATACTGGAATATACTGAAGCATGTGTTTGTTAAAAGAAAGAGTTAAGTGTAAATGTGTAATTCTGAATGTTTCCACAAAAAAATGCAGTCACAAAGAAACAGTTTGTAAAGATGTTTTTGTACATTTTAAAACTGGTTTGCAAATTGTAGTAATAATACCCACAATGTGTATATTTATATATATAGTAGTATTGTCTTTAGTATTGCAACTTATGCTTTAGTAATATCTGAGGTCGGTTTGTTCAGTTAACGCTCGTTGAGTAGCTGTTATATTCAGTGGCGACTCGTCATTAGGGGCAGGCGGCACAGCCCCACCTAGTGTCAGCAGAAAGTAATGAAAATAATAATTCCAAAAATATGAAAAAAATATATATGTTAAAATATATTTAAAGATCATGTTTAGTCGTCTGATTCGTCTGTACATTGCTGTTTTAGTCTGCGTTCTTCTAATTAGTGTCTACAGTGTGCCTATTGAGCCGCGTTGAGCGATGTGGGGCAATTCCCGATCATGCCCCTCCCTCTCACTGTCTTAGTGAGTGGGTTCTGTAAAAACTATACTGCGCATGCTCAGAGTATTTTTCTATTCAATGTGTGCGGCAAAACAATAATCACCATAGGGGCACTGTGCTGCCATACCTACCAAACGTCATCTCATAATTCAGAGAGCTGATTGGCTGTAAGTATGTGTGCCGCAAAAAGTGTAGAGGAGACAAGAGAGAGCAGCGTACAGCGATTACAATCAGTAAGACGGAAAGAAAATGATTGAAGTTGAACGTCTACTTCAGATTTGGTCAGTTCATTTTATGGCGTATCTTGTGTTGATCTTCTGTGTTTTGCCTCTAGGCTATTGCTCTGCTGGATCCATTGATATTGTGACCTCGGTGATGAGTGTCTGTGTTTTCCTTATCCCTCCCCCCTCTCTCTATCGGAACCATGGATAGCCTACAGCTGTTTGTTTACGTGTTTAAAAAAGCACCAGAAGCTTTTATATACACATCTAAGTTGTTCGTGCCCAACCACTTTTGTACATATACAGACGCCACTGTTTACGGGCCTGGTCCAGGGGTCTGCAACCTTTTTGACCAAAAGAGCCATTTTCCCCCTTTTCCACCAATTGTTTTTGTCTGGAGCCACAAAACATATTTGATAGCTTGATAGCTTATAAAGTTGTATATATTGTTACATCAAAGACAACAACTACAGTTTGCTTGCATTTATTATTTCTTACATTATAGAAAACTGTTTTCCTCGAATAATAAACAAAGAATTAAAAAAAATACACAGGCCTACTTTAAAATAAATCAATACAGCACTTGGGGAGTCCTCTGCACATTTTAAGACAATTAATATAATTAAAATGGGCCCACTTTGAAATAAATAAAACATATAGCTGCACCCTAAAAGAGTTAACTGATTGAATGATGACTGAAGATCGTCAGCTGTCTTCCTCTTCCGTGTTTTCCCTCGATACGTAAATACTTTTATTTTCTTTAATGTATCCATAGTTTGCTCATCGAGCCGGGGGTCAGGTTTTCCGCTGCACGAAAAGGCCGTAGCAGGATGTGACGCATATTTTAAATGAACTAATTAAAACCGTTTTTTCACAATATCACCTCAAAATACAAGATACGAAACATTTTCAACCGGGCAACAACATTTAAATAGTCCTACAAATATTTTAATTTTATTTCCTTCTTATGTTTGTCTAAGCTCAAGGGAGCCAGAGCAGAGGGCTTAAAGAGCCGCGGGTTGCCGACCCCTGACCTAGTTATTAAAGATTCTTGGTTTATTATAAATGTTTGTGTGAATAAAGAAACACAAAGAGTGCTGTTGTCTTACTGCTCGTCTCTAACGATCACCACTGACTGAAACACGAGACAATGAAACCATCCTTGTAGCCACAGACTGAAAAACTCTCATACACGATGTAAAACATTTAAAACACAACCAAATAGAAAACAGCAATTTAGAAAACACAGACTGATGCGTCTTAGACGAGATTTAAATGTAAACAAAAACATCTCTGTGTGTTTCATATTATTTTATTTAAGAGAAAAGGAACGTCTGCAAACAGAAACCTCTCTCTTCGTCTCGATCACACCTTCCCTTCCTCCTCCTTCTTCCTCCGGTGTAAGCAGCGTCCGCAGCAGCGTGCGTCCCCCCGGTCCATCTTGGTGATGTAGAGGAGCGGTTCGATGCTGCAGCTCAGGTCCATGATGGAGAACACGCTGATGCTGATCTGGCACCTGAGTTAGTGAGACGACCAGAGAGCTTTCATTACTACAGTTTATATCTCAAGTAGGCAAGGCAAGTTTATTTATACATCACCTTTCAACACAAGGTGGCCATACAAACATGAAAAGAAATGAAAGACATTAAGAGCATTAAGAGACATATTATGAAATGGCATTTAAAAATACTCAACATAACACAGCAAAGATAATAACACATGAATAACAAAGATACATGAAAAGTCACAGAGCAGTGTGAGATACACACATCTGAAATGTTTAGCTCTCAATCGTTGCTCACTTTTTAGCAGAAATAGTTTTCCTTGACCTCACTTTCTTTCTACTTTCTTTTTCAACTTGTCCTTTAAGTGTTTCATGCTAAACGAACCCATACTGTAATGGTATGTCCACACGGCAGCGTGCGTTGAAGCTTGCCGGTGGGCGTGTCTGGTGCGCGACCAACAACCAATCACATGAATCTCCCGCCCCGGACACACAAGCACGTGGTTTCATTGGCTAGAGCTTGTACTTACTAGCATATGATTTGATTGAAAAGTTGAAAAGTTGAACTCTTCTCAACTTTCAGCGCGAGCAACGGAGGCAAAGCGACGGAACCACAATGCAGTTTGGCAAAGCGTGACGTCACCCCATTCAAAGTGGACGGGAAGCGTCTCCGTTGAAGCACGCAACGCTGCCGTAAGTAGCAGCATCATCTTCGTCATATTTCTCATTCAGGTTTCTGATTTATTAGAGTTATTTGCTGTTGACGTATTTTATACGCCCAGTTATTAAAGATTCTTGGTTTATGATTCAGTCTTCGGTAAATAAAGACGAATATAGTTTAAAGAGAGAAAAGGATCGTCTGCATACAGAAACCTCTCTTTCCTGCTCGATCACACCTGGCCATCTTCTCTTTTATGGGCCTAGTTTTGAAAGACTCTTGGTTTATTATTAATCTTTGGGTAACTAAAGAAACATTAAATAAACCAAGAGTCCGGTTGTCTTACTGCTCGTCCCTAACAATCACCACTGAATATCTCCATGTTGTTTGGTGGATTAAAGTAAACAAAAACATGTGTGTTGAATATCCGGCACCTGAACGCCACGAAGCTGTAGTAGGACACGAAGGGCATGAGAGCGACGGGCGGCAGGTAGTTGGAGACGATGATGGCGAGGATGATGAGCACCATCTTGAAGGCCTTCCTCTTCACCGGGTGCATCTCCTCCTTCCCGGCCACGCAGCGCCGCAGAGCCCAGATCACGGAGAGGTTGCAGAACACCATGAGGGCGAAGGAGAAGAGGATGAGTCCGCTGAAGAGCTCGTTCACGCTCATGACCCCCAGGATGCTCTTGGTGAGGGCGTAGGCGAGGATCAGACCCCAAACCACCGCCGAAATCCCAAAACGGATCTTATTGTCCCGGTTTCCAGTGAAGAGGATGGGATGGACCACGGCCATGTAGCGGTCCATGCAGATACACACCTGCAACAGCATGGAGACAATATGTATTAGAGGAGTGGCTCAAGTAGTCAAAACAAGTAGTGGAGTAAATGATACCAGAAAAATGTACCCAAGCACAGTAACAAAGTATTTTTACTCCACTACTTCCTTCTTCTGTGCATTCCCAACGTTTGTTAAAGGAAATTATATAATCTAGCTCTTCAAATGACCTCAAAAGTGTTTTTTGCATTTAGAAAATAAATATCCAGGCTCAAATGTTGTAATGCTCTACATCAGGGGTGTCAAACTCAATTTCATCACGGGCCACATCAGCAATACGGTTGCACTCAAAGGGCCAGTTGTAACTTTAAGACTATATAAAAATACATATACAAATATTTAATATATATAAAATAATGTATTATATTACAATATTGCCTCTGCATTGGATTATTATGGGATAGAGTAATAACTTCATCATTAACTACGTCTGAAAGCAGAAGTCTAGGGAAATAATTGCAAGTCTCTTCAGTGAGAATGTCACAAAATAATTTAAAAAGAAAAGCCACATTCTGGAGAAAAAGTTAAAAAAAAAAAAAAATGACATTTAAAAAAAAGTCAAATTCTGAGAAAAAAAGTCATATTTGAGATGCATTGTGGGACATGTAGTTTATGGACAACGTGCTTCTGTAAATCGGCCTGTAACCGTATAATAAACATATTATATTCTTTGCAAGCTCTTGTGGGGCCGCATGAAACGAAGCCACGGGCCGGATTTGGCCCCCGGGCTTGAGTTTGACACCCCTGATG